TCTCTTAAAATAAAGAAACTTTCATTGTTTCTTTATTTGTGTTGGTTTCCTTTAATATTTTTTCATTTTTAGCGGATTTTTCAAGGGTGCCCACAACCGGGTACAAAAATTATTTTGTCAAAAAATTTCCATTTCACTAAATTTCTAATAAAACTTTTTTATTTAAAGGAATCAATTTAATCCCTTCACTGACAGTCACCTTAGACCTCTAGCTTCAAATTCGTACACATACATTTGTATAATATGCACATGGACAAATGTTATGAGGCAAAAACAAAAGGGTGCCCAAAACCGGAACACTTCCCTTACAATATCTTATTAGATCCGCAATTTTAAATTTTGAAAATGTGACATCAGATTCGTAATAAGGGACTTCAAAAACACCCGAGTGAAGAGTTTCAAGCAAATCCGTTAAATTTTTTAAAAATATGTCGCCATATTACATCCGCCATTTTGAGTTTCGAAAATCTGCCATCAGATTCGTAATAAGCGACAGCCGCCATATTGGATCCGCCATTTTGAATTTTGAAAATCCGACATCGGTTTTGTAATCAGAGATCCCAAAATATTAAGAATCAGATGCTTAAGTTAAAGTACTTTCCAATTATTCTTTTCTTCATTTTTTCAGTTTTTAGGTCGTGTAACCTAAACTTTAAATTGTTGTACCTTAGTGAAAAAAGTCGAATCGGATCGGGTGTAGAATATTTTGAAAAGTGAATAATTGTACTTTATTTTAAAATTTGTTCGAATGATAAAAAAAATTTTTTGTAGATTTTATTGAGAGTCGAATGTTGCCAAAAATGGCCATTTTTACTCTTTTAGGTTAGAATATCTCAGAATCCTGACGTGATAGAGAAATTTTGCTGCTAGTTTTGGATTACGTATCCCGTTTCTGGGTCTGACAAAATTTTTAATTTTGTACGCCTGTGTTATGTGTATTATTATTATTGAAATTTACCTAAGTCAATTAAACATCGTGGATGCTGATGCGAGTCGTCTAAATGCCGAACCCGCATCAGGAAGTAGGCCTACTGCCCATCAGTAAGCTTACTGCCTAAGCAAATAGATGAATCTAAACGATTTCGTTGTGCATTCGTCTAATTGCCGGCAGTATAACCTTACTGCCTAGGAAGTAGGCTTACTGCCGGATTCTTCTATTTGCCTACGACACATATAAAAAAGAACATAAACTTAAACCTTTTAATCATAATTATAATAAAATTATAATGTAATAAAATTGAATAACTAAAAATGTTGTAATTATATAATTTATAATATTTAACTTTTGAAAATTAATTCTATAATTAATTTAATGTCAACTTCATATTTGACATAAAACTTTTCTGTAGCATAACAACCCTTGGCCGGTAAATTCTGTAGTAACTTGACAACCTTTTACAGCTGTGAGTCCAAAACCGTTTTATCAAAACGAGTAAACGACACGTTGGTTTCAGGTAAAAAATAGGACAAATTTAACATCAACTTTGATATATTGTAACAAACCATTACCTGTAGGTCGAAAATAGGTCTAATGTGACGTAAACTTCAACATTACGTAACGACTTTTGACACGCATTTTCAAATAGTCTAATTTGTACTAAATTTTGTCAAAAATATAAGGGGCCCTTATAATGCTACTATTTGACCTATCATTGTAAAAAATCAGTCAGAGAAGCAGGCGCAATGCGCCTACATCATAGGGTTTCGTTTCCTAAAATGACAAAAAAATAAATAATAATTTATTTAGGAATTTTTATTTGTACCCAAGATTGAAATTTTTTGTTATTACCATAGTAACAGTTGCCGAGGCATCGGTTGTTATGGCAACCATTACCATATCAACATATCATATTGTTATGGCAATCATTAACATAGCAACGGTTGCCATGGCAACGGTTGTTATGTTGTCTTAAGACTTAAGACATAAGACTTAATACATAGGACTTGAAACTTAAGACGTAAAAACTACGGACGGACACCGAAGTCTCGCTATATGGGTTTTGGCCCTTGGCCACGAAACCCTAAAAAGGTCAAATTTGACCTAGGTATAGTCTTATGTTGAGAAACAAGTCAAATTTAACCTAAATATTAACATAGGGTAAGAATTCATAGGAGATGAGGTTAAAAATTCTTTTTTAAACCTGTAGGTTAAATAATAAATAAAATTTAACATAAGTTTTGACGTTACGTAAAGCCCCTCATGGGGCCTTTTTGGAGAGCTTTTTATTTGCAGGTTGAAAAATACGTCAAATTTGACCAAAATTTGACGTATGGTAACAATCCTTTGGAGAGCTCTTACAGGTATTTTTTTATCACTATTTTTTTCCAATAACCTTTTTTCCCACTAATATTTTTTTCCAATCACGATTTTGTTTACTAATTATTATTTACATTTTTCAAATTGTTGAATGGTAAACTAAAATCAACTTCAATTTGTTTAATGTCAAAATCGTGCCGCGTTTGAGTTTGAGGGAAAAGATCATCCAAGTCTATACGCGTTCCTAGTTGAACTTCGAAAGGAGCAATAGAATACCGAGACTATGCTACAAGAATTAGATATCAGTTGAAAGATCAGGAGGCCAGAAGACATTTCTCGATTGAAATTTGAAGAGAGATTATACAATGTGGTAGAAAACTATGAAGGACAACGGCGAAATTGAGGAGTATCTTCGAGCCATCGGACATTATATAAAATTTTTTAAAATTGTTACATTATTCAATTACTTTTTGGAAAAAAATTGGTAGTGAAATAAATGGATTGGAAAAAATGGAGAGGAAAAACTGACTTACTACCTATTAATAATTATACTTTTAATTGTTATTTAATAAAATTATACTCTTACTCGATTACAATTGTTTTCTTGAGATAATATTGAGAATATTTACATTTATTACACCTGTTATCTTAGATAATGCTTCTGAGCTCAGCTTAGATGTTAGGAACCGCAGGACCTTTCTAATTGGCTGGTAATTGACACAAGTCAAACTCAATAGGGATTACTTTGTTAAACTGGGTACTTACGTTCATTTTGGTACAGCGACTGACTATTGGCGAATTTAGTTACTGGATTCGATTACTAATTTTCGGTTTCAATTTTAGTCCCTTATACACTTAAAAATTGTCCATGAGACGACGTCATAGGGTTGTAAAAAGATTGCTTATCTCATTACTTTTATAATTTCTCGAACTTTGCTTGTTTACAGGAATGGTACCTAAGTGCATACAATATGCTGTTCTTCCGCAATGACGGAATTTTGAAAAGTCGTGTTATTTCTATCAAATAATCTTCATTCGTGACCCTGTAAGGTCGTGTAAAGGTCACGCACGTGGCATGTGACAATACTTTGACAACTTTAGTTAGCATTTTAATATACTTATTCTATTATAAAAATATATTTTTCCTCTTAAATTTAATGTTAATTTTCTTGATATTGTTTTCAGAGATATTTGAAAACTACATTACACCCTCTCAGCATAAGTTGGGGAATCGAGGTGTCTGAGTAGATAAAATCCAATTTATATGTAACAGACATTGGGATTGTAGGGACTAAAATATATCCATAATATCGAGTCGCACTTTTTCAATGACACATTTTGTATTTTAAATTTTTTTTCTCTTTTTTATCAATAACTTTATTAATGTTTTATGCTTAAAGTTATTTTACAAAAATTGAATTACTTTTTCAATTGTACAATTAACTTTTAAAATACATCTGAAACATCTGTTGCTGCTAGGGTGAGTGATTCTTTATTGAATGATCACTTTTACTTTTTCACTTAAAAAATTTATAACAATTATTTTTAAATTTGCTTTGAATTGTTCAGAAAAATTTATTTTTGAAAGTTCATGCTTTTACTGAATTTAATGGAATTCACAATAGTTATTTTCCTTTGTATTATTTTGCTTTAGGTGAATATTGAATTGAATAAGAAGCGAAAGTAAAATTGTAACTCAGAAATATTTTTTAATTAGATTATGACATCAACCAACACATCACCGACTGATAAAGCTAATAAATAATTTTTTCCAAACGAAAAATCAAATCGAAAGATTTGATAGTAAAAACAGGATTATTCATTAGGCGATTAGATAATCGCCTAATCAATAATCCTGTTTTTACTGTAAATACAATATTTTTATAATAAAATCAATTTTATTTAAAGGTAAAAATATTTGATAGAGCTAATAATTTTATAAAACATGCATATTATACAGAATTCCTTTTTTTATTTTGTAGAACATAATGAAAAAAAATTTCTGATAATTAAGACAAAAAGTAAATTTGTTTCATATGTTGTACTACCATCGGTAAAGTGAATTAATTATCAATGTATTATTCATTCGTAGCTTCTGAATATTCATGTCACCAATCAATGTAGTATACTGTAATTATACTCAAGCTGCAGTGACAACTTTTTATAATATTTTTAATGAATAATTTTGACAAAAATTAATTAAAATTTCTAGAAAGAAAAAAGTTAAGTCAAAAAATAATTTTTTTCAAAAATTAAAAAATTTATGACAACAATTTTTTCGGGATATTTCCGAGGGTGGGTAAAGGGCTCCAAAATAAGGGTTACGGGTTTTAGTGGGTCAGGGCTGGCAGTAGGTCGCCAGCTTATTAAATTTATTATTTCATTTATTTTTATTATACCAAGCCCAAATAACCTTGGAGTGCGGAATCCAAAGTATCTGTAGGCAGATTTCCCAAAATTCCCTAAGCAAAAAAAAAAAACTTTGTCTAGTTTCCAATAATCAGGAAAGAAGCCATTGTTTAGTTCTGTAGGCTTTTAGGGCAATTTATTACTTTTTGTACAAGAACCCTCATAGAATTCCATATAGGATTTTCAGTATGGAAGTTACATAATTTAAGAGGGATTATTTTATAACGATAGTTACAAACCAATATTCAAATAATACCAGTAGTACAATATTTATTGCATTTTGACCTCAGTCTAATTCATAAGAATTAATTAGAGAAATTTTTAAATGTTGCAGGATAATACATATAGAAAGAGGAATTAACTAATCGCAACATGATGGTGGAAGACGAAATAGAAACTGTCAGTGTTCTCTATCGGAAGGGTCCGATATACAAAGAACATTTCACCTAAATTATCAGGACAATGTCAGGACTCCAAACTGAAATTGTTGCAGAGGAAACTAGTAGCACTTTAATGTCAACCGTGTCACGATTAGACACTCGAGTGGACGTCAGTCCTGTTTCTACCGCATTAGCAATCTCAATTGTATTTATTTTGTTACTAATTACTATTAGTGGAAATTCGATTATTCTCTTTGCTTTCTACAGATATAAGAGATTAAGAACCGCATCAAACTGTTTGCTTGTGTCCTTAGCCATCAGTGATTTTGGAGTAAGTTAAAAAATAATTATTAATTGAACTATTTAATATTCTTACATTTACTATTTCAGTTATTTAGTGTAGGGATTCCCAAATAGCATTAAAAATTAACTAAAATATTAGAGTTCATTGTAAGGCTGGGATATTTTTGTACAAAAGGTCTGACTTTTAGCTTTAAACCTTGAATTGTCCATTAATGAAATTTTTGAAATCCAGTTGAGCGTTAATGATAAAATTTTATGCGCAACATGAATAGAACCGGTCTCCAATCTTACATCATAATTTGGGGTATTATTAGGTAAAAGTAATAATATGAAATTTCCATTTTGTAATTTTATTTAAATACAGTCAAATCTTACTAGTCAAGTAGCACAATATTTGAGCTTAATATTGTATAGTAATATGACCAATTTTTAACTTTAACATTGTGCTGTTTAAATATAATGTCAACAAATTTCTGGTATAACGTCGTTTTGCAAATTGATTATACACTATTATATTTACACCTTATGATATACCCAGTTGAAACCCCCGATACAAGAACACGTACAAGATCATCCCAGTGGGCACATACATCCGGGGGATATCCTTTTCAGAACGTTATTAGGACATTGTAAAAAACATCTTTGGAATATCCTAAAGATATCTTAACAATGTCTTAAAAAAGTTATCCTGAAGATGTCTTAAAGGTAGAATTAAAGACGTCTTAATCAAATTCTATGTCTGACCTAAAGACGTTTAAATGTGTCATAGATATTTTCAGGAAGTATTTGGGATATTCTCAGGACACATTGAGGACATTTTTAGGATATGTTTAAGACATTTTTAGAACGTATTTAGGACATTTCCAGGACACATTGAGGACATGTGTGGGACAGTCTCGGGAAATACTTGGGTCAGTATAAAAATATGTTTAAAAACACTTAGATTGTGTTTGAGATTATTTTACCATTACGTTAAATCTTTACATTAAAACATTTTTAGGATATATTGGGGACATTTAAAAGACATTCTTGGGACACTTATTAAGACATCTATAAGCCAGACATACACGGAGAGAAAAAAAAGAGAGCCGTTTGATTTGGCAAGAGAGCGCTGTTTTCCCTTTATAAAGCGCAGCAGTAGCGCCGCAAACGTTGAAAGGTTATACTTTTTGAGGAGTATCGGTTCTCTTCTCCACACAAATAGATCCGCTTACTTTCCAAAAAGTGTACCCGCTTTCCCCAAAAAGGAGAACCGTTCTCCCCTCGAGAGTAAGCAGCGTGCTTAACCTCAAGTTGAACGGCTGTTTCGCATTTAACGCAACCGCTCTACCGACAGGTAGAGCCGCTTACTTTTTTTTCTCTCCGTGTAGAATGTCTTAAGGATGTCAAAAGGTTGTCTTTTTCATGTCCTTAAGACACTGAGATCTAGTATACCTTTAGAATATTCTTATGACATCCATAAGACAACCTAGTGCCTACTGGGATGTATATTTTAATGTACATGGTCAAATACTTGAAAACATACATGATCTTATACATGACCAGTTGCGGGAATTGGATCAGTGAAAATATACATGAAATCGTTCATGATCATTTATGGAACATTAATTTGTCTATTGTGGAACTTATACCTGTTCACGTCTATTTTCTTGAAACAATTTCTGTTTACTTAAAACAAAGTTTTTATTAAACTTTGAGTGCTGCACAGTAGTTTTCTTAAATATTTACGACTGTGCACTTAACTTTTACAATGCAAAAACAATGCGATATTATAATATTGGTTTACAATTTTATAAAAATAAATTTTTTTATACAGGACACATACGTGAACTAGTAAATGATCTTGAAAGTAAAAAATTTTGGTGCGTGATCATGTACGATTTCATTTACATTATCACTTTTCCAATTTCCGCAACTGGTCATGTATGTGTACAGGGATTTTCAACTGGGTAGTAATAGGAAAAAATATTTTTTTTAAATACAGTCGAACCTGGATAAGTGGAACCTGAAGGGACCAAAGTTCTTGTTCCACTTATAGAGGTATTCCACTTATCCAGGTCATTTAAGGTCAAGTTACTTATGCAGGGACCGCAAAGAAAGTTCCACTTAAAGAGGATTCCCACTTATTGAGGGACCACTTATCCAGGTTCGACTGTATAGTAAAATTAAATTTTATGCAACAGGTAGGAGTTTTCATGCCCTACGGGATACATTTGGAGTTGTCTACAATACCGGAAGATGAAGTGACAAGCTTGTGCATTCTACCTTACTGCATCGTTATTTCCCTCTGCAGTGTGAGTGTCCTTGTTACTGTAGCGATTGCAGTCGATAGACTAACATCTCTCGCTCAACCATTAAGATACAAAAACATAATCACGCACAGCAGCATTGAAAAATACATTGCTGTTTTTTGGATCTACGCAATTGCTGTGGGACTGTCCCCTCTTATTTATGATCAGTTTGCAACGAGGGAGCAAATCAAAAGGTAAATATTTAATAAAGAGTTTTCCGGCTGCCGTGAGAGATATCCTAAAATATTTAGTCAGAAAGTATTGATTTAGTTTAAAGAACATACAGGTGAAGTTTAACAAACAAATATCAAAATACTATAAAACAAAAACACACCCAATTAGCACAACATTTGAGTTTAGTATTGTGTCAATATTACATGTAAACATTGTCAACGTTGCCTCAACATGTTTTAATAGTTTTTGTAAGAGTTGTAAAGATAGCGAAAATTGATGAATATATAATTTTATCTAATTATATTTAAACAAAATCTGATATGTTACGTCAACATTACCAGGCAATGTTTCCACAGGGCGAACATTATTCTAGGAGTATCTAGACCGTTAAAGATTGAAAGACATTCCTAGTACTTCCCCACGGATATCCTGCATATAACTGTGTTATTGAGAATGTTTTATAAACATTTTCAATTTTTCGCATTACTGTTTTTCCAAACAAAAAGAGAGACATCAGGATAAACACCCAGTAAACTTTGTCGAACAACTGCAATGAACCATTTGACACGTATCGCAAACAAAGTTGAAACTTGATATTAAATGCATCCACAGATACATATATATATATATATATATATATATATATATATATATATATATATATATATATATATATATATATATATATATATATATATTATTCATTTTTATAAGAATGATTTTTTTAAAATTACTTTTCACATAAAAAAGCAGAATAATATAATTTTACTTTTTTGTTTCATAACTTCATGCAAAAATTCATCACAATAATCCATGAAAATAAACAATTGGAATTTTTGATAATTTAACAAACTATCTTTAAAGCGTAATTAATTAATTAATTACCAACTGAAAATTTTATAATTAAGTTTTGTGAGTTCATATTGTTCCTTGTTATATGTTTTCATTTTTTTATTTAAAAAAGTAGGTAAAATTACATTTCTTTCTTAAAAAGCTCTTACATCACTTTAACGGTGTTGCGCAATTTCAAACAATGGTTTCGCGCATTTGTTTAACTTTTTCCTATTTTACTTCTTGTCGTTGTAAATCTAAATAAATCTTTTACTTCTTGCGCGCAAATAAAAGATAAAATATTCAGGATATCTTGTATTTTCTCCAATTTTCTTAATAACTGCCCGAATTGGGAGAAAAATCATTTTCAAATCAAGTATAAATTTGACCAGCCATTTTTAAAAGGCGATCACTGCGGAACACCATTAAACGAGCTAGTATTTTCTCATATATTAGACATGGTTGGGTTGTAAGCAGCCCTGAAAAAAGTTTTGACCGAAATAAGATTTTTCAAATGTGACAATTATCCTGTATATGTGTCAACAACCTGTTATTAATTTTACCTATAGGACATTCCACGTCAACACGGGCAGAGCTCCAAACAAAAATTGCTTTGATGAATTTAAACGTTCTAGGGCTTAAAATATTTCTACATTCATGTACTTTGAGATGCCGATGGGCGTTTTTTAAAAAATTTCATTTCTGGTGCCAATAGAGCTGTCAAAAATCAAAAAATCTCAAAATACTTTTATGAATTAAAAGCAAAAAACGAGGTAAATTATTCTGTAACTCATTTTTTAACAGTTTTTAGGGTCCCTGATTATAAATCTAAAGTTTTTTTTTAAAAATCCAAAATGGTGGACTAAATTTAAATTTGATCAGTTTCGATTAAAACTTGTTACTCGGGGGTTTTTAGGGTCGCTGATTACACCGGCACACAAAAAAAAATTTGGATTGCCAGGACTGCCATGTGGTAGGTTTTCTTCCTTAAGGTGTATCTAAAGAGAAAAACATTGTCCGACCTAAAAGTTAGTTCGTGTTCTCTTTATACAGGCTTGGTGGGGGAGTGCGATGTTTGAGAAACTGATTTTTATGGGAATTTACTTAATTTCTATAAATAAAGCTAAATTTTTGCTTTTTCTGAATGTTTTTTTGAATTCAGTGACTTTAATAACATAAGAATTGAATATATAGAAAAAAATAAAAATGGCGGATCTAAAATGGTGGATTTAAAAAAAATTGTTCAGATTTCCTTGAAACTTGTTACTTGGGGGTTTTTGGGGTCGCTGATTACGAATCTAACATCAGATATTCAAAATGGCGGATCCAATATGGCGGACAAAATTTTTAAAAATTCCTCGCATTTACTTGAAACTCGTTACTCGGGGGTTTTCGGAGTCGATGATTACGAATATGATGTTAGTTTATAAAAATTCAATATGGCGGTTCCAATATGGCGGACAAAATATATTTAAATGAATGAAATCGATTGAAACTTGCTACTCCATGGGGATTTTCGAGGTCGCCGAATACGAATCTGATGTTGGATTTTAAAAATTCAAAATGGTGTATCCAATACTCCTTACGATGAAATTGTTCTCAGATTTTCTTGGTTCTTGGTACTTAAGTGTTTCCTCTAGCCGCTAATTTTAAATCTGAATTTTTCATAATTCAGAAATGGTTTACTGTAAATGTTTTACTAAAATTTAATCGGATTTCTGTGATACTACAATCTCAAAAAGTTTTTGACCTTTGTAAAATTAGTCTCCCTGTTTATTTATTTTCTTTTTTTCTATTTTTTTGACTAGGACACCTCCCCGTAGTGAAGGCGGGCAACGAATTCTCGGCTAAGTTTCTAGGTTCAAATTATGCCTTCATGGCAAAAGTAGGAAAGAAGTTTACGATGCAGAGGAGGGATATCTCAGTATCGGCGATTTGTAAAAGCCTTAGACAAAAATGGTAAATGTTTTGAGTATTTGGCGAAGTTTCTGAAACTGTCTGACGCTAAAATCAAAGAAGGCGTGTTAGATGGGCCTTAGATACGTAAGTTGTTATATGGCGAAAAATTTGTACAAACGATGAAGCTTAAAGAAAAAGCAGCTTGGACAAGTTTTAAAGAAGTTTGCTTGGAATTTCTAGGAAATAAAAAAGCCACAGATATAGAGAAATTGTAGGAAAAATGGTAGAGAATTTTAAAAAGCTGAGATGTTTGATAAGTTATAAAATTCACTTTTTGGATTTACATTTAGATGAATTTCCTGAAAATCTTGGTGATTTCAGCGAGGAACAAGACGAGAGATTTCACCAAGATTTAAAGGATATGGAGAAACGCTAACAAGGCAAATGGAGTAAGAATATGTTAGCGGACTATTGTTAAACGCTAAAAAGAGATATACCTGAGACTAAAACTTCAAAGAAGAGAAAAAGAGCTCCTCTCCGGAGATCATTTGATACCAAGAGGGTAAGGTACTCAAGTCACAGAAATTAAGAAATCTGTTCATTTTTGTCCGCCATATTAGAACCGCCATAATTTTTATAAACTAACATCATATTCGTAATCAGCGACCCCGAAAACACCCAAGTAAAGAGTTTCAAGTAAATGCGAGGAATTTTTAAAAATTTTGTCCACCATATTGGATCCGCCATTTTGAATTTTGAAAATCTGATGTCAGATTCGTAATCAGCGACCCCAAAAACCCCCGAGTAACAAGTTTCAAGGAAATCTAAACAATTTTTTTTAAATCCACCATTTTAGATCCGCCATTTTTATTTTCTTCTATATATTCAATTCTTATGTTATTAAAGTCACTGAATCCAAAAAAACATTCAGAAGAAGCAAAAATTCAGCTTTATTTATAAAAATTAAGTAAATTCCCATAAAAATCAGTTTCTCAAACATCACTCCCCCACCAAGCCTGAATATATAAAGAGAACACGAACTAACTTTTAGGTCGGACAATGTTTTTCTCTTTAGATACACCTTAAGGAAGAAAAACTACTACATGGCAGTCCTGGCAATCCAAATTTTTTTTTGTGTGCCAGTGTTATATTACGAATCTGAAGTCACTTTTTAATAATTCAAAATGGCGGATCCAATATGGTTGAAAAATTTTTTAAATTTGATCCGATTTCCTTAAAACGTGTTACTCGGAGGCTTATGAGGCCACAGATTACGAGTATGAAGTTACTTTGTAGAAATTAAAAATGTCGGATCCAATATAGTGAACAAATTTTTAAATTATAAGATTTAATTAAAACTTGTTACTCGGGGGTTTTTAGCGTATCTGATTACGAATTTGAAAAGTCACTTTTAAGAAATTCTAGCTTCATACTGTTCTATAATGTAAACAATTTGTTATTATTACAAGCTTTAAGCAAATTGTATCAAATTTGAAGATTTTTTTGTCATATGAGATCCACTATTTAAAATTTTTAAATTGTGATTTCAGATTTGTAATCAGATATCTTAAAAAACCCCGAAGTAACACGTTATAATTAAATCTGATCAAATTTAAAAATTGTCACCATATTGGATCCGCCATTTTTAATTTCTAAAAAGTGACTTCATATTCGTAATTTGTGGCCCCATAAGCCTCTGAGTAACACGTTTTAAGGAAATCGGATCAAATTTGAAAGTTTAAAAAAAGTGATTTCAGATTCGTAATCAGCGACCCTAAAAACCCCCGAGTAACAAGTTTTAATCGAATCTGATCAAATTTGAATTTTGTCCGCCATATTGGATTTTTTAAAAAAACTTTAGATTTATAATTGGGGACCCTAAAAACTGTTAATGATTAACAGAATAATTTATCTCGTTTTTTGCTTTTAATTCATAAAAGTATTTTGTGATTTTTTGACCTTTTGACTTTTGACAGCTCTATTGGTATCAGAAATGAAACTTTTCAAAAAACGCCCATCGGCATCTTAAAGTACGTGAATGTAGAAATCTTTTAAGCCCTAGAACGTTTAAATCCATCAGAGCAATTTTTGTTTGGGGCTCTGTCCGTGTTGACGTGGAATATCCCCTATATTTTAAGAACAATTTTTTAAATATTTTTTTAGTAAAATTGATAGGTTAGCAAGAGGATAGTTGTGCTTTTAAAACGTAAAAAAGAATTGTGTTTCATTTTTTATCTTACTTGACTTGGAGTGATCATTATATTATTCACATTTCATTATTAAAGACGAC